TAGGAAAGTAATATATAACCCACATTCAATCTCTGAGCATATGGTGGAAAAATTAAATTCATTTAAAGTTTTATTAACTTATGCAGCATTCATTTCAGAAACCAGTTCACAAAGTACTTCACACAAGGTACCCGTCCAAGTGCCATCCATTGTAGCTGCATCTATATAGTTTGTTACCAATCATGGCACCAAATAGCTGTCTTTCCTGCTTCACATAAACAGGCATTAATGCCCAGGACCATTTCAAGTCAGAAGCCCCATGACATCAAACCTACTCTCCAGACTTACCAGGAAACAAAGTCCACCTCCTGATTCATATATGGAATCCTTACTTGGATTTGTGCTAAAATTTACAACTATTACCAACTAAATGCAGTGCTGATCATTTGATGTTGAACAGGTCCTCCACAGAAATATATAATGTAAGTTATTAATCAAATTAGGAGCAGGAATTTCATTGAACTTTGTCAGCATCATCCGACTCGGTGCCTGTCTTCCATCAGACTGCCCCTTGAATTCAATCATGGTCAAGTCTATTCAGGGAACAAGCAGTTCACACACCCTGTACGCATCAGTTGGACAAATGAGACCGAGCACATTGTCTTCCCATGCAGATATAAGTAATGCTAATCCAATCAGGAAAAGTTCACAACAGTCACTTCACAGACTCAACAGAGTTGTGTGGTAGACAAATAAATCATGCTTCCCTTCTTTCAAGGCAACAGTTGCAAGTTAGTGAGGACAACAAGGTGCTGGAGTGCCTGTATGGCATCAAATATGTACCAACAGATCATCATGCATGTACTTTAGACCATCAGAAATTTACTTCAGATGAGCATGCATCGACCTCTGACCATCATTCTTATACCAGACCATTATAACGTAACTCACACCAACATACACCTACCTCAAGCCACATATAGGTCCGTCTCCTATTTTCACAGGTTTCCTATTCTTGCGGTAAACACGTTTTCTGCCGAAATCGCCGATGTGCGACACTTAGCGGTTGTTTATATCACCGACTGGTAACTAGGAAGTGGCCCAAGTCTGTGAGTGATCAAAATCTTGCAGTATCATGAATATTGGGGAGTTTACACCAACTTGGACATATCATTACTTTTTCCCCGCCCTTTCCAACAGGATTGCTCTTACATACACTCAATAACGTTAATTCCTGGTAATACCGCGAGAATGGGAGAAGCCTCGTTTCGTCAATGACGGATCGTATTGTTTATCACCGGGCTCACGAGTGGTAATTCACCTGATGGATCTGGCAGCTGATAGATGTAGATGTTAGAGGAGAAGGCCCTTCATTTAAAAGGTGAGGTGAGGTGAAATTGGGTTTAACATCGTGCTTGAGAATATTTTGCTCATATGACGACGTGCATGCGTGTGTATGTGTATGTGCGGCTGCTTGTACTAACTAAGACTGAAGCTGGTTTTATAGTGCTAGCTCACTGAGATACCATGTTACAGTGAAGCATGAATACCCCACTCAGACACATTATACTGACTCCGAGCCGACCAGTCCTTGTTATACCCATTAATGCCGAGAGCCTGGCAGGGACCAACAAGTACCATATTTTAACGTCTTTTGGTATGACGCGGTTGGGGATCGAACCCGCGACCTTCCGCTCTCAAGGCGGATGCTCTAACCACTACACCACGGAGGCGGACGCTCTAACCACTACACCACGGAGGCGGTCCCTTCATTTAAAAACAACAAGCATTCATATGATAAGAATTGTTTGTGTTATTTTTCAGCCGATATCCGTAAGTACCGCGAGAATAGGAAACGCTTTCCTACAAGTATCTCTCATCAACATACCTGTACCTTAGACCATCTTACTGTATCTCAGACCAACATACACATATCTCATACCAACAAACATGTACTTCAGACCATCTCACATGTACTTCTCACGATACCTGTACCATCTTTCTGTACATCAGACCAACAAACACGTACCTCAGACCAACATACACAAAGGAACCAAGGAACATGTACCTCTGACCATGTTGCTGTACCTCAGACCAACATAGATATACCTCAGACCAACATACAGAAACCTCAGATCAACATACACAAACCTCAGATCAACATACACAAACTTCTGACCAACATACACAAACCTCTGACCAACATACACAAACCTCAGACCAACATACACAAACCTCTGACCAACATACACAAACCTCAGACCAACATACACAAACCTCAGACCAACATACACAAGCCTCAGACCAACATACACAAACCTCAGACCAACATACACAAACCTCAGACCAACATACACAAACCTCAGACCAACATGCATGTACCCAATAACCGCTGTGTGAAAACTACCGGCCAGTGACCATCATACCCTTTCCTGCATAAGTAGCAGCATGGAATGACAATTAGAGTCCATCAATCAAATCACTGCCTGTGACTCAGAGTTCCACAAGACAGAAGAGTATGCACTGAGCCACCTTTACAGAGTTCAGCACTAATGACCTAGTATCACCAAACTGTAATGGTTCACTTTGTGGACACGGAATGTATATTAAGGTTTTTGAATTCATGGAATATAGAGCTGCCATATAGATTAGTCGTCTGCTGGCTTCATTCCTGCATATATGGACTCCACAACCTTCCCCCAATTGTTGGTAACATGACCTCAGGTTGCAATGACCGTGTGGTAATGAGCACAGGCTTCAGACATGGAATACATATTTGGAGTAGGGAATAATGAAGTCCAATTCAGATCAGTCTGATATCCGCTTCAGAGCTCAATACTGGTCGTGTTCATCAATGCCATATCACCAATGATCCCAAGTTCCAGGCATACATATTGAAAACTTGACAGCAGAAATTTAATGATTTCAAGGACCTTTGACTGGCATTAAACTCGAGGGTCTTTGAAAACATATATGCTGAACTGGTGTGAAGGCTATACTCAGGATGACAATTACAATCCAGTCTTCAGTGAAGTTGACAAGATAAGCGGCAACATTTCCATGTAGCGTGGGAGTATTCATCAGGTGTCATTTTCAATTTTTTCAGATCAGGTGTCAAATACCCACATTCTTTAGTCAAGTTCATGTTGCTTTAGGATACTACGGCAAAACTACAGACACCTCAAAATGGTGGTAGACAAAAATGGGCTTCATTAGCTTCCCCTGTGGAGGTGAGGTGAGGTGAGGTGAGGTGAAATTGGGTTTAACGTCGTGCTTGAGAATATTTCGCTCATGTGCATGCGCGCGTGTGTGTATGTGCAGCTGCTTGTACTAGCCCAGACTTCAGCTGGTTTTATAGTGCTAACCCACTGAGATACCATGCCGCAGCGAAGCATAGACACCCCACACAGACACATTATACTGACTCCGAGCCGACCAGTCCTTGTTGTACCCATTAATGCCGAGCGCGCCAGGCAGGGACCAACAAGTACCATATTTTAACGTCTTTTGGTATGACGCGGTCGGGATCAATCCCGCAACCTTCCGCTCTCTGGGCGGACGCTCTAACCACTACACCACGGAGGCGGTCACCCTGTGGAGGAGGTCAAACCAAGATTTGACATACTTTGTTTGTTTTGTTTGACATCAGGTGGGGATAATTATCTGCTGTCCATTGTATCAACATGACTTACATCTTCATGTACATGCTTTTCTTAAAAAAATGTACTTCCACTTTTTTTTACACAAGTTTTTTAGTTTGTTTATTTAAGGCCACACTCTAGGTTGGTACAATCCAGTGATCAACATCATAAGCATTGATCTACGCAATTCGGATATAATGACATGTGTCAACCATGTCAGCAAGTCTGACAACCCAATCCCGTTAGTCGCCTCTTATGACAAGCATGGGTAGCTGAAGATCAATTCTAACCCGGATTTTCATGGGTCTTACACATTAGTTCAATTTGTTACTTGTTAATGTTGCTCCAAATCAAAACACATTCATGGCAAATTACAGCCTGGAAAGGTTATACTTGGTGGGAAACAAATGCTACATGTTTGAGTTGGAACATGTATTGTTACCAAGGAAACACAAAGAATTAAAAATAACAAAAATTGCAAAATATGAAAAGGCCATAGATTAAGTGCCTAACTCTGAAGGTGTGGGTTCAAATCCCGGATGAGACTCAACCCAACAAAAGTACTAGAATGTGTACTTTACTAAGAAAGTTTAATCCCAATTATCTTACCTCACACATAAATGACGCTTTCTGATTGGCTGAGCGCTCTTCTATTATTTTCAATGTACCCCGCTTACAAGCGAGTAACATTTCAATGTACCCTGCTGTCAATGGCAACTCATTTGGTACTTCGTGGTAGTAATTCTTTATCGCGATTAACATTGAATCACGTATAATGTGCGGAAATTACCGATGTTTTGCGAATGCAAATCGATGGGAGGGAGATAACTCTAAATCTGTTTTTCTTGTCAGCAAATTCTAGCGATGGCTACAAAAAGATTCGTACTGTGCTTCAAACAATTCAAAATTAACATTAAGGTGTTCGGTAAGATAAATATGTATAATATAACATGTTACTGTAATTTCAGCTTCTGGTAAGGCTGAACTGCAACCATCATAAACTGTTTTTTTGACATAGATACTGTGGTGGCCATTTTGAATACACGGCCTTTTGACGTTCCTGATTCACTGGTTCAGTAGTTCCTGGGAGATATTTACACAGATAATGCATCCAGGATATGACATCAACTCACTTGAGCAGAATATATCAAACATAGCCGAAACCTTACTGAACTGAGAAAGGTGAGAGAGTGAGATGGACTCAACATCATTATTGATTGACCACACATCCATATAAAACTCATTCGTCATTCGATTATATTTTTTAAAAAAATGTCTGGGAAAACTTTCATACCCTTCCAAAAGACATATCCTTAAACAATGCATCAGGTATACAACTTCAAGTGAACATAATGCAGTAAAACCTGATCCTCTATGGCTACAGAATCAACAGATAAGAAGCACAAAGACTTAACTTACCTGATGATTTCTCCATACTCATCCCATTTAATCTTTTCTTCATGGAATGGGTACATGGGGTAGGACTTTTTGGCTTGCTTGAAGAAACCACTCCTTTGCTTTCCCTGAAATTCACAAAATATAGAATTGATTGAATGAGAGAACCTCTTTCATTGAAGATTAACAGACATTTTAAGAATATGAATACTGCATAACCACACTGGACAGTTAAACAATGTTTTCATGGGCTTGCAATACATATGACAGTGGCCTTAAAATAATCTAGTCTGGACCAAACAATGCAGTGATTAATATTGTGAGCAATATGGCTGGGATATCATGAAAAGAGAGAAGACAGTAGTGGATCCCGGAAACATATCAGGTAAAGTTCACGTTGAGCATAGAATCACCAAGAAATAAAAGCAAAGTCTTTTAGATCTGAAAATATTACATTTTTAGGTGTTCTATGTGAAAAGCGTTGATCTTTCCCAGGGATACAATATTGCTCACAACATTTTTAGTAAGCAAGAACAACTGAAGCAGTTTTATTCATAATAAAAGTATAGGACGTAAATTTACATAAATGTACCAAACAAACACAAACTGAAACGCCAAGTAAACAGAAACATGGAAACAATCCCATGCACTTAAGAGGCAAAACAATTCCACGGCTTCTTATAACCACTACACAACAGAAACACACAGGTCAATTTTGACCACAACCTGACCAAATCCCTGAAAAGGATAATTTGTTCCCCAGCGTCATACAACACTTTACTCCAACATGTATGACGACAGCCAGGCAAGAAACTGCCCTTCCATATATAGTGTACTTAATGCCTTAAAGACCTTGTTGACAAGCATGGCAAGCTGACATGTACACATGGCCTTGAAACCAAGGCACTAAGTACCCCAGAAGAAAGGTCACTCACATGCCAACCTAGGTTTCACACTACAGCATCAAACATTTATGATTCTATGATCAGCTGTTTGGGAAACCAAAGTAGTTCGGTTATGAGAAAGGAAATTCTGGTTGTAGACTTGTGAATCATTGATGGCTCTCATACAGTAAGTGCCTATCAAATTGCCCACTTTCTGGAATCCTGCTGCCGAGATAGGCCTGGGGGTAGCAAGTTTAATTAGCACTGTTCGTCAGTGTGTTGGGCTTGCATGAGATGTGCTGCTTCGCACACCCAGTCAAGTAAACAATCATTAAAACATGTCCTGCTATTATGGTGATCATTTGTGATATCCAGCCAGCTGGCCTGCGTCACTAAACAACCAGCCCCAGCTTTCCACTTGATTATTAATTACAGGCAGTGACAGTTAATCCTTTCTCATATATCTCTGAAAAACATGATGCTTAATTTATACTGAACCTTGTGAAGAGTTCAGAGCCCTCTCCAGAAAGCCATCTTAGCCGGTCTCTATCATAACCCAACCTTGAGAACAGGGCCCCGTTTCACAAAGCTATCGTAGCGCTATGACTGTCGTAAGTCTATGCTACAGTAAAGGATGTACGATTGCTATGAGAAAAGTTACGAGATCTTAGGCTTACGAGAGCTTTGTGAAACGGGGCCCTGACTTACAACTTACAACAATCATTGTAAAATAATTGCACCAATGGTCTATTTGTATTATATCCCTTCTTTGAATAAATGGTTGCCTTGGGGTGTGGGTTACCAGAAGTATTTGTGGTCTGCACGATTAGTATTTGAGTCAAGTCGGCTACTCACTGTGAAACTTTCGACATTCAGGTTATGACATGGATACCTTGCCTTTTATGCTTAAGTTTGAACACTGATAAATGAGGAAAAGTCACTGTCCAATATTCAATGATAACTGATATATATATGATATATTCAATGATAACTAAGATATAGTTAATAATTTTTGTTGTAAAAACAATATGGTTATCAAGGTTGGCCAATCCTCAACCTGCATACCTAAATGAATACAGACTTTGTTGATCTCCACAAGTATTCTAAAAACTCTACCAAAATATCCCTTCATGGTTCCATTTGAAAAACCCTCAAAAGAAGCTGAACAAAATTAGGTGGGCTAAAACTACAAACTCCTGCTTGGGCCAAAAATGTGGGTCAGTTGGTATAGAGAAACAAGAATGTTCATATAGTTGGTCTTTCAAGTCAATGACATCCAAATAATACATCATCCAAGTATCACATTCTATTTTAGTAAAAGCAATAAGTGACTTGTCATAAACATGAAATGATTTACTTTCTGTTTGATTTGAAACAATTCCTATCTACCTAAGATTAAATAAAGTCTATGAATCTCAGATAAAGCATTTTGTGCAGTGATACAGACTTGGGTCACATTGGAACAGGATAGTTTGATTCAAGGTTGGCACAAAGGAGAGCCAAAACTAACCAACACTTCTCTTACTGTCCATATACTAGGTAACTGCAAATACAGTTTAGCAACAGTCTGTAATACACTGGTGTGGTCCAATGTTGGCACAATGTTCAAAGGCATCAATATTTTTTAGCAAAGTTTCATTTTAAGTCATGAAAAAAAATGTTGGAGAGAGCAAGTGAGTTTAGTTTTACAACGCTTTTAGCACTATTCCAGCAATATCACGGCGGGGGACACCAGAAATGGGCTTCAAACATTGTACCCATGTGGGGAATCAAACCCAGGTTTTTGGTGTGATGAGCGAACGCTTTAACCATTTGGCTACCCCACTGCCCCGGATCTGTTGGACATGACAGTTGTTCTGGACAAATCTAGGATCATAATCATGGGCAATATGGGAATTCTGGTATTGAAACCCATGGGGACTGGATCTTGGTACCGAGTTGCAGAGCAGAGTTGCATCCCCTTGTTGTTTCAGGATCAAATGATCATGGGTTTGAATCCCAGATCTGTCTTGTTAAACAAAATGTAGTTACACACCAAGAAAGAACTGATATAACACTATACCAAGCAGCATCTAACCAAACTCACTCAAATGTATTCAAAATAGATACCTATATTCAACAGCTTTTACTTGATGTGACAGGATGGTATACGTCGGATTCTCATCAACAATGTTGATAAATATTGACACTGCTTTTCTTAAACTGAGCATCACTGACTATAATTGATGGTCTCTTCGAAAACTACAAAACCAAGATGTTTAACTGCATACGAAAATCATTGACACTATTATACATCTGTTATTTCATATTTAATATAGAAATAGCGATACAAGGAAGCTTGTTACTATGGATACCATACTTTCAGGACAGATTCTTTGAGGTACTGATGGCATTACTCTGTATCCAAGATCTGTTAATACTGAAATTAATTAATCTGGACAATTACATGAAGAACAGTTAACAAAGCCACCTCAAAACCACATCTCTCTCTCTCTCTATACATATATATACCGGTAGGTATAGGAGTTATGATCAACTTCAGTACAAATTCACCTTGTTGGCCCACATTGTCCCTGTATACACCTTGCCTTCAGATCCTACTTCTTGTTATCCTGACTTGCACAGAGGAAGTAAACAAGATCGTAGGTAATTGACAAGCCGATTGGGAAGACAAACAAGGATGACATGTGATTGACACTTTAAGCACGCACATTGCTTAAACCTTTGGTAATGGAATAAACCAGGCTCCTAATGTGCCATTTATTGTCACTCAGCGTTTCTGCATGGTCACTCCGTATAATACAGCCGGCTTGTCCATGCTGGTCCTCGCCTGATTGATAAATACATGCATCTGATCTCATTGTCTGATCACCTGATGGTCAATGAACTACTGAAGCATGTAAGTTGTTTAAATGCTTAGTGATAGCCACTGATGTAGATGGTTTATTGCTGGTTGTTCAGAGAGGAAGCTTATGGTGATTTGCCTGAGGTTTGCTCCAGTTGTCTTCAGTAATGGATGGCCACTGGTTCATGTTTTATGTGTAGGAATAAATATTAATTTTGTTGAAAGAACATACTTTATTGTACCTTAAAAGTTGTGAAATGTAGAAGGCTGATGATGGAATATTGCTTGACAAAAAGGTAAAGATTTATGTTGGAAAGTTGAATATCTCTGAATCTCAAGCTCCAGCAGGTACCTGCTGATCATAACGCTGATCATGGTGTAAAAATACTTATATTTCAAAAGGCAACATACAACTCGTGCTCAAAAGTTGATAGATTAGGGTAAGAATGCTCATGGCCTTAATGAGTCTTCAAAAACGTTCTATGTTAAAACATTTGTAGGATATTTGTGTTCTGACTAATCTGTGACAAAAAGAAATTGATTATTTTGAATTTATACAAGTTCCCATATTTTTCTAGGTGAATAACTGACTAGTCTTTGCTTAAGGAAGTAAGATACTTTATGGATAACAACTTGTTTATTTATTATATAGTCTTTGCTTGTTTCAGTGATGGGTGCCACTAAGTTGTAGGATATGCATACCCTTTTACAAACAACTGGTATCGTCACTATCTGCTAGCGATTCATAGAAACATGCCATGGTAAGGTCAGAATCAGACAATATTTGTTTCTTTTCAGAAAAGTCTCACAATGAGTGAGTGAGTGAGTGAGTCCTGCATCATATTTGTAAGGAATTTATGAAAATCTAACAATCCTTAATATGTTGCTTTGTGATGTGCAGCTGCACTATTGATGAGTGTGGCTTAAAGAAATCAAAACAAACAGATGTTTCAATAAAAATTTGGTTTAACTAAGTAATGTAAGTCAGACAGATTTTAAATAGAACTTTGATGCATTGATAACATGCCTTTTCGTTCCAAGATTTTTCTTGATGTATATGGCTGAAAATTTCAGCGTGACTTTACATTTTAAGCCCCCCTCACTCATTCACTCACTCACTGAAATAACAATCCTATAGAAAACAAATATACACACAAACAGCCAGATATCTTGGAAAGTGTTTACCACAAAGACTGGTTTCTGTGTACAGAGTGCCACACACCTCAAATTTACATGCAGTTTCTATGTACCTGAACTTACAAAAAAATCCAGTTTATAAATAATAGCCACGGCACTGTATTTACAAACATTTATTTTCTTTTATCCCCATTTAATTCACCAGATAACATTAAATTATCAATATTCTCCATTTCCTGCAAAAAGGCTGTGATTCCTTTTACAAAAACTTCCTTAGCGTCAGAGGAGAAAGCATATAAACACTTCTGATTGCAGTCTAACAAATTCAATTTCTTTCCATTGATCTGAGATTCAATCTGAGCAAGGCGACATGCTCCTAGCATGTTTACAAGAGCACATACACCACATTAACGAAGATGTTCGCACACTCCCCAGTTTATGCTGACAGTTTATCCTTTCAGCGTGTCACGACAGATCCAGACAATGAGCATGTCAACAGATCTAAAACGGGATTACTTTGATATGTCATCAGTGCTAACAAAATAACCTGAAAAAGACTACCACGGAAACCCTGTAAACTTTTGACCCTTTAACACTCTATCTCTCATAATTACTGCTGACATTTTGCAAGCACTCTAGCACTGTCAGATCCAGCCTTCTTAGAGTTAATGAAAATCTGATAGATCCCTCAGGCGACAATCAGTTCTGCATCTCACATGTCATTTTCTACAATTATTATCAATTCACACTTTCTTTAGGGCTGCCAGTATCAAAGGGATGACAATATATCACAGTATCACAAACACTGGCAATAATCATGCAAGGCCCGATCTGTCTACATTAAGCCATGCCCGAGAATCCAGGGATTCTGCTAATTTGAGACTTTGGCAGACATGTGCTGGGTTTTTTCTTAGGGATGAGAGGTCCCTAGAGATGGCCAGCTGGTCTGTGGAAACAGACTAGGGGAGCCGGGGCTGGCAATTAGGAATCTGGTGGTGCCTTACATAATTAACCTGCCAGACTAGTCTGTCTCACAGTCCCTGAACCACACTATTTTCCCTACTGCAAAGCCCTCTCTGCAGTGCTAAAGCCCTAAATAAAGCAAGTCTAGATTTCCTCAGATTCAGGAAAATGAATCTCTGGTCTCCCTAGGGCTCCTTTTCAATATAAATGGGCTTGTTTCTTACTATCAAAAATATATATATTCAGAGACTAAGCCTTAGTCTACTGCCAGACATATAGGCAATAGACGACAACAATACTGTACAGACGTATTGTCCACAAGAAGCAGGATAACAGCTTTTTGGAATAAGAGGGGTGATGTCTGCTCATCCACATATGTACTTCAGGGTCGGATCCAGAGGGAGGAGTGGGGGTGGGGGCGGATTTCTCCAAAGTCCTGAATCCGTCCCTGTACTTGTAGAGACACTGAGGCCATTTTACACAGAAATACACAATGTCCACTTCTCTTTCAGACACAGCTGAAACTACAATGTCTCATTCTTCATTTCTAACAGTGAGTTCTATTTTACAATCTCAGGCTACATCATGTTAGAAGCTAAAAAGACATCTGACCCCAAAATGTTTTTGTGTCAATTGCATTGAAATATTTTGATTAAATCCTTTCAAGCTATGTTCACTGATTCAGTTTTCATCTTATGGTGTATTTTTTACAAGAACTAAAATTGGGTTAATGCAGATTATCACCGATCAAGTACAGAGACTTTTCAAAGGATTTGTACTCTAAGGAAAACAGATGAAGGAATTTCAATGGCACCTGCATAGAAACCTGGGTTCTGGTTCTAACCTGCAGTCCCACTGTAGATCGTAGTATATGAAATAGGGATCTTGACTTTGCTGATGGTGTGCCTTTGTACAAACAACGCAGGAACACAGACTTACCTCCCCTTGAATCATGAGGTCATGCTTGCCCTTTCCAGGTTTGTTGCCATAGGCCTCTACCTCCATCTCTACCTCACTCTCATCACTTGATTCATCAGCCAGATCTCTGCAAACAGACAATCCACAAATACACCACACCAATCTGAATGTCTCTGTGAAATGAAGAAATTGTATGACCTAACTATCAAAAAGTAACCATCATTTCGCACCCAAATTATTATAATTTCAGTGATAAAAATCAATGCAATATGCTGCTATACAGCACATGGTCTAATCCTGAAAATGATCGCACTGCCATTACGTCAAGCATAATCTCTACTCCAATAACTTTGTACTGTAAAATGTCTATGCAATACTTGATACGGTGGTGTTTTTTGTCTTGTCCAAGAATCCATGTGCACATTTTACTCCTTGTGTTTTATACACAGCAAGGAGTACAGTTGAATAATGTCCTTCTTAGGACTTCAGATTCATGTGAATAACCGAACATTTCACTTTTTACAACAAACCCATATTAGGACATTCAGATCCAGTTTATGGCTATTACATGATCAATATGTTTGCATTACAGTGAGTTGAGATGGATTCAACGTCACTTTGAACAGGATTTCAATATTAGTGAGGAGAATAGCATGGAGAGTGAAGGACAATGTCTGATATTGACTAACAGCTTAGACAGCTCTGTCTTCATGAGTCTTTCTTGAGCTTTCTTCTCCTGTTTCTTCTTCACGTAATCTTCTAGTTCAGGTCCATCCATTTGGATCCGTCGTCTCACCTACAACATGAAAAATAGTGCATGAGCCCTGACTGACTGACTGACTGAGTTTAGTTTTACGCCGCTTTTAGCAATATTCCAGCAATATCACGGCGGGGGACACCAGAAATGGGCTTAACACATTGTGCCCATGTGGGGAATCGAACCCGGGTCTTCGGCGTGACGAGCCAACGCTTTAACCACTAGGCTACCCCACCGGCCCACATGAGCCCTGAAGCTCAAAGAAACAGTAATATATAGATACAATTGAACTAGGGGTAGGGGTAGCCTAGTGGTTAAAGCGTTCGCTTGTTACGGTGAAGACCTTGGTTTGATGCCCCACATCGGTACCATGCTTGAAGCCTATTTCTGGTGTCCTCTGATGTGAATATTGCTTTGAGTGGCGTAAAAAGATACTCACTCACTCTCTCTCTCCCTCACACTTCAAACCTAAAGCTTGAAAATAAATGTGTAGTATAGGCTTTAGCATAAAATATCAGGCTGTTACATATTTGTCTGAATCCCCTGTCTTAAATAACCTCTGTTGAAAAGTAATCTTGGTTGAATGACAGTCTGTGCCCCAAACCTTAGCATCCACTAGACAAAGTTTATTTTTTAGCATTTTCTTTTTCAGCTTGTTGTCAGTTGATGAGCAGTGCTTCCAAACTGTAAAGGAATGTTACTAAGATTGGGTTTAAAAAAAATGGCTGAAGCCTTAAGCTTGAATGATGTCGAAAAAGTTTCCTGCAAGTTGTTGAAAAGTAGTCAAAAGGACCTGATGACATAGTACCAAACCAACACATGGTCAAGAGTGGCGATTACGACTTGGACACAATGACATCGGGCTTCCAGATGGCCATGTTACCATTTTCTTTGATCTTTGATGGTGCACTGTGCAAAGAGCTAAGGTGACAAAATCAGCTAAAGTAATCAACACAGGCAGTGAGTCGGATGTGCATAGGTTACTATGTTTGGAAGGCATAACAAGGGCTTCTTTTCCTTCAGCGATGCCATACACTGTTCTAATGGTTATAAAACAGTTCTCTCTATTTCCATAGGGAAGGGACTTTGTTCCACACACCCTGTTCATCAAGCCTTCAAACACCTGGAGGGCAGCTACGTTGTACACTGTTTTACTGATTATAAAACATTTCTCTCTATGTCCATAGGCAAGTGACTTTGTTGTACAATGTTAAAAAAAAACATCTTATTTCTCACTTCCCAGGGTCGATGAGAACAACATTTGAGTCCACACTGCTCCATTAATGGTGGTAATAACTGCATTACACCATGTGTGATATACACAGTGCAGTAAATGATATGAAACTGGGTATTTGCCATGTTACAAGCACTGGGGTTGAATGTTTGAAGCCATTAAAAAACACAAACCAAATGACAAAATCTGTTTGAAAATGTTTCATGCATGATACCATATTTTCTTTTTTCAATTTCCATCTAGAAATCTTATTTCAGATTGAATGCAGCAATCACTTTGTAACATTTTATTTCCATTAGAAAATTTGACATTATCCCAAAGTGAGATCAAAACTGAAAAAGGAGAGACAAAAACTCAATGTATCTTGAAACAGTTGTGTCATTTAATCATAAATCTCAACTAAGAGTTAAAATATATTTTTTTCAGGAACGACCGACATTCCACACCATTACTTTTGCATAACATCTGACTGACTTCACACAAAACCCCTAAGGGTCATAGTAATTGGAATTTAAATGAAACTTTCACAGGATGAACAATAAATGATTACATTTTAACAATAATGTACGGCATGTCTAAAGACATTACGTTAATATGTGAATAACCTTGTAATAAATACTCCTATCCCAAAACACATCTGTGTTCAAAAGATACTTGAAAGGAAATCTCACTTAATCACATCCGTAATCAAATCTTAACTTTCAAGAAGTCAACCATTCACTGACTTCACATAAATGAAGCTTCTTGTCATGCAGTAATGTCTTAAAATTGGTCTGTATGTTGGAAGTTAATTTAACTGCAAGCCTCAAAGACTTTCTCATTTGGGGAGTAAATTTAATGTTAACAGAGCAACAAAAACACAGTTAGCCCCAGTACACTTGCACTGAGGCAAGTGAGATCGCTGAGCAAGTAATGAAGGCCATAAAAAAAATCATATTCATTGACTCTTTGTGAACAATACCTTCTGAATTTTCATTTGCTAATAAAAATACAGAACTATGCTTCATGAAGGAAAGCATTTGTATTTTATGCACAATGCATGGAAGCATTTAAACAGTCCCAAGTTATCGCCCTTCCAAATGTCTCTTATTTTTAAATAAAACAAGTGTTTGCCACTAATATGGCAATGTCCCCCACCGCTAAAGAAGAATGAAATATTTATAACATATTTACTGCTTTATATTTTTTGGTCACCTACAAGATGTCTGAAATGACTGGTGTCTGCATAATCAATCACCCAATGTAGGCTGTCGACATAATTGAAGACATTGGGTGAGATATCTCATTTACATAAGTTGAAAACTGGCCAAAATGTTGTGCTGACCTTGACCATAAGGTCAAGGTCACCAAAATAAGGTCAAGGTCACCAAAATCAACTGATGTCTGCGTAATCCCCCAATGTAGTCTGCCACCAAATTTGAAGACATTAGGTAATCCCCAATCAAGGTCACCAAAATACAACAGTTCATGAGATGTCTGATGCACGGACGGAATACATAGCTGCTGAATACATGTCCCCACCAATCTTTCATTCCTTGTAGATGTTATGTACCATTTCAGATTCAGCATTTCAAATCAGCTAAGCCCTCTTCATATTCAAGTCTGATATTGTTTGGATGAAAAAATTTGAACATTCACTCCCTTGCTTGTCCCCAGTATATTTTTATAAGTTTTTGCCTGCCAAAGATGCACTTCTGTTCCCATACAAATACATGTTTGGTTTTGAAAAGCACTTGTCTAATCCAGTCCCACTTGAAAAAAACACAGAATGGTGGTTTATGGTGTCATAAGTCATATGTAGCTTCTTAACTGTCACCAAATTTGAAGACATTGGGTATAACAAATATCAAATCTCCAAATCATATAAAGTCATGTCACTTGGACTTAACTGACATAACATGCCTCATCAGATATGTTCAGAATTTATTATCTTTGATTTGATCTTTAATTTAGGTCAGCCTCACTTAAAAACATACAACCTCAGACTGACCCTTCTGTCAAAAGTTGCAATATGACATTACTGACATATCTTTTAATGGCAGAATGAGCTTAACAGTGAGTGAGTGAGTGACTATGGTTTTATGCCGCTTTTATCAATATTCCAGCAATATCATGGCGAGGGACACCAGAAAAGGGCTTCACACATTGTACCCATGTGGGGAATTGAACACAGGCCTTAAGCGTGACGAGCGAACACTCTAACCATTAGGCTACCCCACCAACCCGAGCTTATCAGTCATGTTGATACAATTGAATGCATCTTGAAGAATGACAGGTACTGCTAATAAATAGCTTGGTAAATGTTTCTAACAATTTCTAAGATTTCTTCTAAATGCTCTTTTGAATCATCATTCTTTAGCCCAATGTAACAGAAAGTATTGATTACATCATTGTAATATTAGGATAGGAGACCATCCCATCATTGTAATGTAATGCTGGCCCGTGGCTAGTAAAAATCCAGTCAATCTCTCACAGTCACTGGCCTGACTGGCTAGTGAATTTTCATGGGGTCATTGTTTTTTATGGTAATTTAACTTTTTGTAATCTTTTGCTTAGTTTCTACATTCAAATTTTGGGCTAGTGAATTATTTCGTGGGCTAGTAACTTTCAAGCATAGCTAACCTGGCTGGCAAGCAAGATTTGGAAACTATTTCACACACTGAACAGTAAGTGTCCGTTGGTCCATTGTAAAGAATGTTAACAGTCCTTGGCACCATTGTCCATTATAAAGAATGGTATCAGTCCATGGCACCATTGTCCATTGTAAAGAATGGTATCAGTCCATCATCGGCACCATTGTCCATTGTAAAGAATGGTATCAACCAATGGCACCATTGTCCATTGTAAAGAATGTTAACAGTCCTTGGCACCATTGTCCATTATAAAGAATGGTATCAGTCCATGGCACCATTGTCCATTGTAAAGAATGGTATCAGTCCATGGCACCATTGTCCATTGTAAAGAATGGTATCAGTCCATCATCGGCACCATTGTCCATTGTAAAGAATGGTATCAACCAATGGCACTATAGTCCATTGTAAAGAATGGCAACTGTCCATGGCACCATAGTACTCTAATGGTAACTGACATCAATGACCGTACCTCCATAGTGACAGTCTTGTTCTGCTGGTTGTCTATTAGCCATCTTGCCAATGTCCCAGGAGAGGTCCTGTTGGTCAGGATGATACTGTTTTTGGCATTGGTACACCATGCTGTGAACAAGTCTCTCGAGAAGCCACACTGTAGGTCAGGGGTGCTCGCAAGGACAACCTGGAACAAGTCAAATGGAGAGAACGGTTGTATGGAGTGAATGAGCAATTGAATGAATAAATGAATAAATAGGGTTCAATGCTGCTTTATACAGTATTTCAGGAATGTATCACATAAACATCATATCAACTCAAGTTACATTTGAACTAAATATGATTCTACATTTGTCTTAAAACTAAAGTAACTGTTAGAAACAGGTAGTTATTCATTAAATATACATTGATACATGAAAGTATTAACATGAAATATCATTGTTATCTTCTTAATATACTCTTTAAAAAAGTGGGGGAACTTTATTTTTAATTTGGAGAATTTTTAACATCATGTTTTGGCCAATTTCTGTGTGTTATTGAGTATTTGAAGCACGGGAATTCATTTGGAATGGGCGGCCTTAGCCGGAGGTTTCAAATGAAATATTTGCATTCTTCAAATACAGTAACACCCAGAAATTGGCCAACACATGATGTTTATTGACATTGTAAACACAAAAGGAAACCAAAAGGTCTACACACGTTTTTCTGTCTGCATTCATTCACATCGAGTACGGGTACAGCAGTGAAGTGTCATTAGCCGGCCGATCGCCTCCGTGGTGTAGTGGTTAGAGCATCCGCCCGGAGAGCGGAAGGTCGCAGGTTCGATCCCCGACCGCGTCATACCAAAACACATTAAAATATAGTACTTGTTGGTCCCTGCCTGGCGCTCGGCATTAATGGGTACAACAAGGACTGGTCGGCTCGGAGTCAGTATGATGTGTCTGAGTGGGGTATTCATACTTCACTGTGGCATGGTATGTCAGAGGGCTAGCACTATAAAACCAGCTTCAGTCTGGGCTATAGACTAAGGCTTAGTCTCTGAATATATATAATATTGATAATCACAAACAAGCCCATTTATATTGAAAAGGAGCCCTAGAGAGACCAGAGATTCAGAGACTAAGAACATCTGCATTGGGGCTACACGTGCAGGGGTCATTACCAATTAGAAGTCACATCATACAACCATCAGATAACGCTATAAGTGAAAGGCATATTTATTTGCCCTCCTGTTAAGCCCTGTTCTATCTCCATGCTGTCATCACCTCATGTGGGCCGGTCAAGTGCCCCTACTGCCTAACATGTTACTGTTGGGAAACTTGCAGCCCACAATGTCACTTGGACACTAGATGACCAAGGTGCAAGATCTGTGTGGAACACCAACAAAATTATTTATGAATTTGAACTTATCTCCAAATTCAAAAGTTTCCATTTGTATAATATGCGAAGAGGATATAGATAGCCACCTTTTTTTGGTGAGGATGTTGGTCCAGCCAGCCATGGTAGTTAGGTATGTTTACTTTGTAACCCGACCCCCAAAGTGAGTTAGTTTTCTTGCAGATGTTAACAGACCCTGAACCTGAGGAAATCTAGACTTGCTTTATTTAGGGCTTCAGCACTGCAGAGAGGGCTAGGCAGTAGGGGAAATAATGTGGTTCAGGGACTGTGAGACAGACTATCTGGGCTAGTACAAGCAGCCGCACATACACATACATACGCATGCACGTTGTCATATGGGCGAAATATTCTCAAGCACGACGTAAAACCCAATTTCACCTCACCTAACCATTAGCCAGCCATTTTGGCTGGTTCCCATGGTAGCATCTGGAACTGCTCATTGTAACGTCATACCGACTTTACGTCACAATATGGTTTGACTGATGTCACCACTGCTGACGATGCAACAATACAATTGTGTACGTTATTTGTACATATTAATGCGCAGCAAACAGTCTTGCAATTTCAGGGAATCAAACACCATTCAATCAGGTTTTTCAACCAATCAGATTAAAGAACACAGTGACTTTTGGTTTACAATTTACAATTGAAAAAATTGGGAGACATATCAGAGTCAATCAATGTTGATATGATAATAATGATAAAAATTTGCATGTATACAATTAAAAACACTAACAACTGTGTGATGCAAGATGATTATCAAAATTAATGGTCTAAAGTGTTTTTTCTACCTTTTTGAAAACCGTTAATATCAAGGATGATGCACATGTATGGAACTACTGCGTTGTGCACGTGCATCCCATGCATTGTGTTAGGGGTGGTTATAAAGAGAAATGGCGGTGCATTCATAAGATGTCTGTCTTTGAAAAGGTTATCAACGGTTATACTTCCTGTTAAAATTGAAAGTTCAGATTCCCCTTCTTTTTTGAAGAGCATAATATACCAAAATACCAGAACAAACCAAATGGTAACCTACAAGTTAACCTAAAGTAGAGGAACCAGCAGCCATCACAGACCACAGTGTTGCATCATAGTCATCATCCCACAGATCCTGTACTCATATGGAGACTACCTCACGGACACCTGCAAGATGGGCACTGGCAGGTACATTATTGACTAATTGTGTCTGTACCAACATTTGTTTTTGTATGTGTCGAGTAGACTCCAAAATACATCTTTAGGCTTGCTAGATGTTTGACTAAAGATATTTGTGTGGGGAATATTTGAAATGATATGTCACAGATGTAGATACAGCTGTGGCCCAGACAAAAAAATAATCCTGGAATTTACTGTCTCACTAAAGAGTCTCAGTACAAGCAATAATCCCATTCATTCAGTCAGTCAGACAAACTCATTCATTTATATCTTCATAGCATCTCACTGTAATGTACAGTGAAGCCTCGTTAATCCGGACGGTTGCGTTTCTCAGTAAATTCGTCCGGATTGCGAATAGTCCGGACTACTGAATCAAGACCCAAGTTGCTTCCCTAAGAATTACAAAAACGACACGAATCTGGATAAAACAAATAAGCATTTAATGTAAAACTTAATTCATCACATCAATAATTTTACCGAGTGACATCCGCATGTTGATCCGACGTGTCTGATCACGTCCTTCCTCAACACAGGTGAGGTAATGTCTAACAAGCGATCTATTGTAGTATGCCTTGAATGTCCGAATTAGTCCTGCATCCATCGGTTGAATATGAGACGTGGTATTTGGTTACATTTCGCAAAGTTAGCGAAGCACACTTGTGACTTGCAGCATTGTCGTAAAGCAAAATCACTTTTAGTCCACGTGACCGGATCTCTCTGTCAAAGTACATTAACCAATCACAAAACAGTTCACTTGTCATCCACGCCTTTGTATTGTGGTGTCAGTCAAAGTGTAAATGTACAGTATCTTCAGTCGGGAGCTTTTTATGTCTAATTAAAACAACAACCCAGTTGGCCAGTTAATTAAGTAAACATCGCCGGGCGGTGTTGTTACGGTTCGTGAACACGACTTACAGTGTCCGGACTGTGAAGCAATTTACTGTTTATTTTACTGATTGGTGACAGCTACTTACCGTCTGGTTCCGGAAACCGAATTTCCGGATTATCGAGGCAAATTATATAGGCATAGATTGGTAACAAGCTGAAATCGCCCGGGAGGCGAGACTTCCGGATTATCGGAGTCCGGACTAACGGGGCTTCACTGTATATCCATATCTTTGATGAGCAGTTATATCCCTCAATCATACACTAATTCATTCACAATGAATTCAGAATTCATCTCGTAAGATATTGTTTTACCATAATATTACTGTACACATGAAACACTCATCCATTCATTCCTTCACTCACTCACCCACCAACCCATGTCTAGCCATACAGTCTCTGTACAATTAACACAGCCTCTTACTGCAATCACAGGTTGCTGCAGATGCAGTTGCCTCAGTTTCTTAAAAAGTTGATTGTTGCTAATATGTAATTAAACTAAAGGGATGATTAAGACTACCTAGGCTGCAAAGAACCTTTACCTCAGTATAATGACATCACAAGAAATGGGATTATGCTACGTCCAACAGGATCTGTTCACAAAATGTTCAGCTCCTTCCACCTTTTCTGTCTGCTAATTGACAGGCCAGCATTAATTGGAAGCCTTCATTTCAGCAAAACATCAACCTACCGCATGGCACATTCTGACATGTTCACACTAACTTCCTAACTGACATGTCCGGTCAAATATTTCAACGTTCATACTGGCATGCCAGAGTTGCTTTAAGAGAGTTCACTGTGGGAATTCTCCAGTAATCAAACCATCTGATGACTTCGTTTCTCATTAATGGACATTTGGGTGTTTGACATGGCAACATCTCCCTAGTACCTGTTTTTAATGAAAACAAAAAATGCAAGCTAATTGCTCTAAGCACTACATACAAAATTATTGATTGCACAAAAGTCAAATGAAAAATATTAAGGAAAGGAATTGCGAAATGATGTTTTATGATGCAGTGTTTACGACTGTATGTACTGTTATTTTGGCTGACAATGAGTTACTTAACGAGCTGGGTCACCTTTCACTACCTGCAAGGACAGAATACAGTTCTTTCATCATGATAGGTGTTGAGTTTTCAGGTATGTATCACATTGTCTCGATCAACAATTGTATCACATTGCAGCAAAGTAAAAGGTTAAGCCCTAATGCATAGTTGTCAGACTTGCCAAGTCTCAAGGTAATAACTCATAGTATAAACGATAATTTCTAAAAAAAATAAATTAACACATTGTCCCTCTAGACTTGCCTCTTTATAGGAGAGAATTACTATCCATAGGCTTAGAATTCAGTACAGCCTTGGAGCAAGGCACCATTTACGCTAACTCACCTACTTACTGAATCCTGTTGGAGAGTGAGTGAGTGATTGAGTCAGGTTGTAGCACACGTGTGATACCAACATACGAAGAAACAGAGTATATCAGGGAAAATCATCTATACTGGACAAAATAAGTTTGGGATATTGGTATTTTTATGGTTGATATTTTATCAGTGTGTCAATGAATAAATAGATCATTATTCCTAATTTCAAAATTTACATATATCCCTAACTATTTTTGTCCAGTATATTTGCACCCTACCATTGCAATAATATGCCATTATTAACAGAGACTTCTGACATCTCTTGTGATTTGGCCTGATGCACTATTGGTTAGTAATTAAGATCATCGAAGAAAGAAATCAACGAAACC